CTGAGATCAGCCTGGCTATGACATACTCTATAAAATTTGTCCCGTAATTCATTTTTTTCTAAGGGGTTTGCTGAAATTTATGCCCCTGACTAAAACATATGTGTGGATAAATCCCTTGTCCACTTTACTGGCCGGCTGGGAAAAAAGCAATGCATTCCCAGCAAAAGGGCTAGGCATAGATTGAAGCTCAACAAGCTCTGTGAAAGTGCCAGCCTGAGACCTGACTTTTTCACTTTTCCAAAAGGGGTATCACATCTACCTAGATAATTATTACACAAGCCTGCCCCTTTTCCGCCACCTGTACCATGAGAAAACCTTGGCCTGTGGTACCACCTGAAAAACAGGAAGAGCTTCCCACAAAGTCTAGTGACCACAAGGCTACAAAGAGGGGAATCTTCAAGTCTGAGGAACGAGGAAGTGTTGGCCATGAAGTGGAGGAATAAGAGAAATGTGTTCATCCTGTACACTATCGACAATAACATCTCAGTGTTAATTCACAAAAGATGAGGTCCTATCCAAAAGCCTGAGTGTATCCACAATTATAATTGATTCACGGGGGGGGGGGAGTTAAATGATCAGATGCTACAGCCCTATTTATCAACAAGAACATCCTGATATACCTTTTCAAATGTTAACAGAAAGAGCCACCACCTTCCTCAAATTTATAGAAGATGTCATCACTGCCCTAGTCTATTCGCAAGGATCTCTACCAGAAAGCACTCACTCCGATTGTGTCAGCAAACTTCATGGGCACCATTCCCCTGAGAACATTCCACTGTCAGAAGTAGGAAGAAGACTCCAAAAAAAATGTAGGGCATGCAGCAGTGCAGCAGAGGGGGAGTTAGAAGAGGTACCAGTTTTCATTGTTGCCAATGTCCCTCTCAACTAGGCCTATAAATCGGAGACTGCTTCTGACGTTATCACACGTCACTAAAATATTAGTTCCTTTTTTTTTAAACAGCCTGCTATTTCCCCATTTTTATTATTTGTGCTGATCATTTGCCTGCTGCCTTGATTGATCATGCCTCTGCCTTCCACCTTAACTGACCCTGGACTGTTTACCCACAATGCCTCTGCCTGCCATCTGGATTGTTTCTATACCACATTTTTGCCTTCCACCTGAACTGATCCTGGTCTGTTTATCGACAATGCCTCTGCCTGCCATCTGGATTATTTATCAACCACGTTTCTGTCTTCCATCTGCACTGACTTTGGCCTGTTAATTGACCATGTTTTTTGCCTGCCACATGGACTGATCTTTTGCCCTGCTACTGTAGTAGTGGGATTCAAGATAACACAGGGGTGTCACATAACTGGGAGGCTTCAGAGTAGAGAAAACCAGTTTTTGGTTTTCTCTGTGTTTTGTAATTTTCTGAATAGGGTCTGGTAGTCCAGGGGCTTGGAAGAGATTGGGTATGACAAAGCCTCTGCCCCTGTGCCCAGGTCTTGCCTGGCCAAGGCCCTAAGCTTGATGTTCCTGCCTGCTGCCTGTACCAATAACACTGTTCAACAAATTTTTATTTTTTGCCAGTTTTGGAAACAAAAGGATCCATTTCTTAATGAATTTCACATTCTGAGTTCAAATATAACAATGAAATTTGTCAATTGGCTCTAGTTTTTCTGTAAACGGAAAGTTTTCTACTATAGGCGTAATGACTACATAATGCACAATAATTATATAGATAGATGTCTTTCCACAAATATAAAGCAAGTGATATTGACTACATAACAAAGCCTAAATGGCATAATATATTGCATAGGATTACCAAGAAAAATTATAGCCATAAGCTAAGTTGAATCATTTTAATACTTAGGATTCTCACTAGTTTTGTCTTCAGTTTGTGTCGGTTTTGCTTCTCTTGGCTTTTCTCTTGTATTCGAGGAAAGGGCTATCTCTTACAACTGCACGTGACTACACACTTCAGGTTCTTCCTCACTTGACTCAACCACGAAGGATTCTGGTGCTTTAGGAATTGGTAGCCCCTCTCCATGAGGAACTGGACGTATTGCCGATGGAATATTTGGATAGTGCACAGATAACTTTTTCTTCTTATTTAGCCCTTTTACAATTGGAGGCACCATACAAAAGTAACAATTACTAACATGATCTGTTGGCTCTCTCCAAATCATTGGCACAGCGAAAGGCATAGATGCCTTTTTTCCATTCAACCATTGCTCCAGTGCCGTCCCACAAGAATTGCAGCATATATGTGGTGCCCAGCTCTTGTCCTGGTCTCCTATCTTGCAGCCAAAATACAAGTTGTAGGCTTTCTTAATCATTCCTGTTATCCTCCTTTTTTGTGAGATAAAAGTTATTTCACCGCAGATATAGCAGAAATTATCTGCTTTATTCACACAAGTTCGAGGCATTACTGAGTAGCCTATATAAGCATAAAACGAAATGTAAAGACGCTGTCGAACTACAATCAGCTACAGATACTGCAGCTTTTATGCAGTGAAGTGATGCAATTAAAGGCTAATATTGCATCATCTCAGTATACATGCAATTTTCTATTGGTCACCAGTATCAATTGCGCAATATGCAGCTGAAGTTGCATCATAATTTTGAATGGCTTACGTCATTAGATGGGTGAATATATCATGGAAACTAGAGCCAATCAACATTTTTTAGGGTCATTTTCGTTTTCAGCACCCCAAAATTATGTAAGATTAGCTAATTTTATCCCCAAAACTTTTTACCCGTTGAACAGTGTAATTTGTCTGTGCTGACCATATCTCTGACTGCTGCCTGTAATGACCTAGGACATTTTATGGACCATGTTCCTACCTACTGCCTGGACCGATACTTTGGCTGTGCTGACCATATCTCCTCTTGCTGTCTGTACTGACCCAGGACTTTTTATGGACCATGTTCCTGCCTGCTGCTTGGATGTGAGCCTGCTGCCTGTACTGACCCTGGCCTGTTTATTCACCATATTCCTGTCTGCTTCCTGAACGATTCCTTTGGCTGTTGCTGACCAAATGAGAAATACTAAACAGGTGGATAAAGATTTACTATTGTTACATACAAAAGGATTGTATCTCCTTTTCCATTGTCTTATTATTGAGACACCTCTTTTGCAGGTTTAGATACAATTTAGGTCCAGAGCAAAAGTTAAGGCCTGTGTAAAATGTCATCAACTTTCTGAATTTCTTTAACAGCATCATGTGTCAAGAAAATGTTATAGGAAATCTTCGTAAACATCAATTTAAGAAATTATACACGCTTAAAACATTTTATTTGATCTTTAAAAATGTCATTGTTATGCTGTGTGGAGAAAGCAAAACAAAATAAATCATTTTCCTGGTTGTATAAAATATTAACCAGATGCTTCATAATTTAATGCTTTGGTATTCTAAAGGCCAGAGCAATTTTCCGCATCACATTTTACACTTGTGATGTTTTTATTTAGATGCCTTTGGATGAGAGATGAATAATTATTACCAACTTTTAGTAATGCAGAATGGCATTATCTCTATGACTCCCATTAACATAGAAATAGTAGTAATTAGAAATCATTCAATGTAAAATACAAATAAATCTTTAGCATTTAGGTGTATAATTTAAAACATGTCTATACAAATGTGCCAGTCTGACTATAATACAGTGCAAAACTGCTGATGTTATAACACCAACAAAATATTTCTGTTACTTTTAAACTTGTTTACTATTGAAAGGGCTTTGTTGCTAAGAAAAAAATGATTACCTGAAGCAGCCTCAAAGCTTTGCCACTATGTGCAAATGACTGATGGATAAAGCTCTTGTCAAAACGTGACTGCTCCCTTCTACCTCCCACATATTCCTTCTAGTTCATCACAATTATGGTTGCTTCAAGGGTTTATAGAAATGCTAATAGGGCAGGATGGGGTTGTGAAGCTTTGAGACTACAAGGAAGTTTCAGCTTTTTGCTTTGCCAGTGGAAATTTGGCCATCAAAACAGTTTGGCTTTCAGGGATAGTGGTGGGACCTGGAGACTGCTTCTAGTATGTAAAAGCACTTTTAGGTGACTGTGGTGCCCATTTATGAAAGAGAGAAAAGCCAAGATCCTGATGATCAAAGACGATCTCTCAAGTGTGCCAGTTTATGAAGCTAAGGTGAGGAGAGGAGAACATTTTCTTCAGTTCTCATCACAGGACACACCCTTCTTTAATTCACCTTTACAGAGATAGCCAGTTTATGAAGGTGAGATCTGAAGATCTCATTGGCCATCTCTTTCCCACTTTCCTGCTGCCCTACAGCAGAAATACTGCTACATGGCGGCAGGGGTGCGCAAAGTCATGACTTTGTATTTCTGGGTAGGGGGTGCACACGAGCATGTGCCCTACCCACGCAGACATTTGCGACCTCAGCTATCAATCACCCGGTCCCAGCCAGTGATTACTCGGCGGCACCTGATGATCGCCGAGTATCTCAGACAGGGGAGAGAACTGTATTCAAACAATACAGTTATCTCCCCTTTCAGCTCCTGCACACTGCTTTGTATGACTCTGCATAGCAGAGCCATACAAAGCCCAGTGCCATTTATACAGTGTCAGTGTTTTTTTATTAGCACTGATCACTGTATTGGTGCCACTGGGGATGTGAGTGATACTAGGTCAGTTCCCACCCAGTGTCAGAATGTCCGCCGCTGTCCTGCAGTCCCGCCATAAGTTACTGATTGCCGCCATTACTATTTAACCACCTCCCGCCCACCATATAAGGAAATGACAGGCGCAAGGCGGTTCTCTCTTTCTGGGAGAACATCATATGATGTCCTCCCACTCTAACTACACTCCCCAGGGGGAACACATTGCGGTGATCAGTGGTTGCCTGTGTTCCTCGGACACAGCGGATCATGAATCAACAAAAAGAGATGATGACGTCGGCTCTGTCATGTGATCAGATGTGTCCAGATGTAAATAAGGAAATGCCGGTTATCGGCATTCCTCTCTTCACGAGCTGTCATGGTGACAGCTCGTGAGGAGAGGAGTGCCGGTAATCAGCATTACACAGAGGGGACATGTACACAGATCATCAGGGCACTGCGGATCACCGATCAACGGAAAAAACCCGAAGATGTCGGCTCGGTCATGTGATCAGCTGTGTCCAGTCACAGCTGATCACATGTAAATAGGGAAATGCTGGTTATCGGCATTTCTCTCCTCACGAGCTGTCACGCTGACAGCTCGTGAGGAGAGGAGAACTGGTAATTGGCATTCCTCGGAGGGGACATCTACACTGATCATCAGGGCACTGATGATCAGTGTGCCCTGATGATCATTGTAGCCCCAGCAGTGCCACCTGTCAGTGCCCATCAATGCCACCTGCCAGTGCCCATTAGTGCCTTTCAGTGTCACCTATCAGTGCCAGTCAGTGCCACCTATCAATGCCAGTCAGTGCCACATATCAGTGCTGCCAACCAGTGCCACCTATCAGTGCCAGTCAGTGCCGCCTATCAGTGCTCGTCAGTGCTGCCTATCAGTGCCACCTAACAGTGCCAGTCAGTGCTGCCTATCAGTGCCAGTCAGTGACACATATCAGTGCGGCCTATCAGTGCCATATATGAGTGCTGCCTTTCAGTGCCCATCAGTGATGCCTGTCAATGCCCATCAGTGCCAACTACCAGTGCCTCCTCATCAGTGCCCATCAGTGCAGCCTATCAGTGCCCATCACTGTAGCCTCATTAGCGCATATCAGTAAAGGAGAAAATCACTTCTTTTCAAAATTTATAACAAAAACTAAGAAAAAACTTTTTTTCCCCAAAATTTTCAGTTGTTTTTGGTTTGTTGAGCAAAAAATTAAAAAACCCATAGATAATTAAATACCACCAAAAGAAAGCTCTATCTGTCTCAAAAAAATGATAAAAATGTCATATGGTGTTGCATGACCGTGCAGTTGTCATTCAAAGTGCGACAGCATTGAAAGCTGAAAACTGGCCTGGGCAGGAAGGGGGTATAAGGGGGCCCTATAAGTGTTGTTATTTTCAAAATTTAGTAAAACAGGGTCAAAAAAGGTATACAGTAAGCAAATGAAGAAAGATTACACAATTATTTGGTATTCTTTGGTATTCTCATTCAGTGCAAAACATCTCTAACCAGTAAGAATAGACTATGCTGTAGACAACCTATAGTATTTCGGTGCCAACTGTGTAACAGTTATAGCTATAAAATACAAGTCACTTGTGGAATAGAAATTAGAATATAAAAGTATACAAATTAACTATACAAAAGTAATTAAACAGTTTATGGCTCAAGACATGAAAATGTGCTAGAGAATATGATGAAATAAAAGTGGAGTGTTTTCCAGCAATAGTGGCTAACATATTTCCATATGTGTAGTGGGTGTGAAGTGTCTGTATGGTATCATTGATATTGGGGGAAGATGGTGATCTCCGTGTACGTAGAATAACTAGTTTTGCTGCCAGAAATAAATGGATCGTAAATTGTCTAAAAGTAGGAGGGATATCCTCTATACCCAGGTTCAGGATAGCTAGTGCAGGAGAGAGTGGTATAGATAATCCAGTGACCTGGGTGTGAATATCAAACACTGACAGCCAAAAGTTATCTAGTTTGCTGCATGACCAAATAATGTGATATAGAGTGCCAGTCTGCTTGCATTGCCTCTAGCACATTGGGGATTGGGAGGAATTAAATTTAGACAATTTATATGGGGTAAGGTACCACCGTAACATAATTTTATGAGTAATTTCCCATAGATTAGCACACTTAGTAAAGGTAGATTTATACCGTAGAGCTTTTTATCATTGTATATCATAAAAAGAGCTAGCGGGATCTCTTTCCCAAGCTAAGATAGGGGGCGTTTTAGTAAATAATGATTTGTCATCAAGAAAGTTGTAAATTGTCGATACCCCTTCTTGATGATACTCTTAGATGTATAATAACGCCCAATTATCCATGGAAGCTCATATTTAATGGGGATATGTTTATGGGTGTAAGATGCTACCCTAAGATAGGAATAGCATTCTGAGTTCGGTAAGTGGTATTCCGTTTGTAAAGAGGCAAAAAGTTTCAGAGAGGATCCTGCAAACAGATCTGATACCTGTTGTCTACCATGCTCTTTCCATTCTCCTAAATCTAGATCCGTCAATAATATGGAGTATATGAAGATTGGAATAGACAGTTGAACGGTTGGAGTCTGGGTCTTTTTACCTGTATAGGTATTTAGTGATTTCCACACGTTCAATGTTGCGGTGGGAATTCCTTTGGATTATTACTAAGGTAAGGGTATGCTAATAGGTACATATATAGATTTGCACCTGGGATTTGTATTTGTTCAAGTTCGGCCGATAAAGAAGTGGGTGAATTCAGAAACCAGTGCCACAGTTGTGCTAAAATTGCAGCTAGATGGTAATCAGAAAGAACTGTCAGCCCCAGCCCCCCTGCAGACCTCATTTTAATCAATTTAGTAAATGCGCAACATGCTTTCCTCCCCTCCCAAAGGAATCTATATAATATAGACTGCAGGGTATGGAAGAATTTCTTAGTTGCAGGAATAAGTACCGAGTGAAATACATACAGAATCTGAGGTTGTAACTGCATCTTAGAAGCAGCAAATCTCCCAGACCACAATAAAACATGTTTGCTTAAAGATAGTAGACCTTATAACTTGGCTTCCAAAGGTAGATAGTTGGCTTTAACTGGGGCAAGTTATGAGTGTAGTACCTAAATAAGTAATACCCGAGTCTGTCCATAGGTAAGGGAATTTAGATTGTAATCTGTGTCTATGTTGTGGTGATACCCAAAAGTCAAGTATATGGGATTTAGTTTAATTGACTTTGTAATATGATGCCATACCATACTCTTGTAGTAACTGTGCCACATATTCTAAAGAAGATAATGGTTTAGTCAGCATTAAAGTAGCTTTGTCTGCAAACAGGCTTATAACATGTTTGTTACCTTTGAATTGGAAATATTAGGGTGTTGTCTAAGTCTAGAAGCCAAGGGTTCCATCATGAGATTGAAAATCAGGGGAGATAAAGGGCATCCCTGACGGGTGCCATTAGTTGTTTGGAAGGGTTTTGATAAAGCTCCTGAGGTATATATTCGTGCAGATGGAAGAGTATACAAGGCCAAAATAGCTGACAGCATATGCCCCTGAAAACCGAATTTAAGAAGCATGCTTTGCAGAAACAACCAGTACACTCTATCGAACGCCTTCTCTGCATCAAAAGCAAGCAGCAGAGAAGGCATCCGATTCTTCTTCGCAAAGTCAATGATGTTGATCAACTGCCTAGTGGCATTGGAGGTCTGCCTCCCTTTGATAAAGCCAGATTGGTCTGAGTGAATTAGAGTGGGTAAAATATTTACCAAATGAAGCGCAAGCATTTTTGCGTAGATTTTTATATCTTTGTTCAGGAGAGATATAGGCCTAAAGTTAGAGGGGGTGTCCAGCGGCTTCCCTGGTTTAGGTAATGTCACTATCATAGCTTCCAACATCTCTTGCGGAAAGGACGTTGACAAAGCAGCTTCGTTATATACTTTTTTAAGAAAAGGAGATATTATACTTTTAAATTGTTTGTAATATTCCCTAGTTAGGCCGTCGGGGCCAGGGGATTTGTTATTAGGTAATGTATCTATGACCTGGAGCACTTCAGGTAATGAGAAGGGAGAATAAAATTTTTGCAGCTGCAGGGGAGAGAGCTGCGGTAAATTTAAATTAGTTAAGAACTTATCTATGTCGTCTAGGGAAGGTTGATAGACTTGATTACCTTGACTCTCAAATTATAAAGGGAGCTGTAGTACTCGCTAAATACATCTGAAATATGCTGAGGGTCATAAACTTTGTTATGTGACTTGGGATTGATTAGAAATGGTATTCTCGTTTTAAAGCGCTGACCTTGTATTATGCGTGCTAATACCTTACCCGCTTTGTTACAAGAGGAATAAAAGGTCATTCTCAGCCTTTTGGCACATTTCTCATAATTATTTAAGAGTGCTAACCGTAATTTGTGTCTTAATTTAGATACTTTAGCAGTTATCTGATGAGAGGGTTTAATTTTGTTTTGATTTTCTAAAGAGCGTATATCTTATAGAAGGGTGTCTATTTGTCGCTGTCTCTGTTTCTTCACCCTTGTGCCCGGTTTAATAAAGATACCTCGGATATAAGCCTTGTGTGCATTCCATAAGATAAACGGATTGTCAGTAGAAGGAGAGTTAAGTTCAAAATATAAAGTCAGATGGCTCTCCAAAAATTTTTTTTTTGTGGCAGGATTTAGCATAAAATGTGGGTTGGCATGCCACACCATTGTGGAAGTTTTAGGATATGTTTCAGCTACCGTAAAAAGTATCGACTCACGATCCAACTATGTGATATCATTCCTTTTAGCTTGACTGGTTTTTGGAGAAGCCACCTGTCTGTCAGAAATAAATTGATTCTAGTGTAGGTACAATGCCTATTAGACATAAAAGTATAATCCCTTTCATTTGCGTTTGTACAACGCCAAGCATCATATAAATCATGGAACCGCATAAAGGGTAACAGAGATGGTGTTTTGGTGGAAGTAGCTGATGTAGAATCAATTCCTGGATCTGGGGTGATATTAAAGTCTTCACAAAGCAGAATGGATCCTTGCTGTATTTTCCTGGTTTTTCACATCAAACTATTCAGGAAGTAGACTTGGTGTGTATTTGCTGCATAAACAGCCACCAGGGTAATTTGAGTGTTATTTATATCACAAACTATAATTAGATAATGCCCTGCTGGGTCTTGCATCTCCTTATGTAGTTGAAACGAGACAGAGTCCTTTACAGCGATCATTACACCTCTCTTTTTTGCATGCATTCTCGCTGTGAAGTAATGTTGAAAGTTTTTATAGGTGCATCTAGGTGCTGCTTTTTTGTGAAAGTGGGTTTCTTGGACAAACAAGATGTCACAATGCGTTAAGTCCACTTCCTTCCACAACGATGCTCACTTGGCAGGATGATTCAATCCATGTGCATTGACAGATAAAATTTTAATAGGCATATCAAGATCTATTTAGTATGCTGATATTAATACACTGCTGGTGTGTACTGAAAGACCAACTGGTAACTTTTGGCTGGTGTAAGGGAATGGTTGGTATGTGATAACCAGTTGTTGATATTTGGATAGTCATATTGAAGAGTAAGAAACTTGGTAGAGCAGTCAGAGGTCTTGATTCATAAGAAAACAAAAGTTCAATTGAACACAAAACACTTGTAATCAAGTAACACTTGTGAGAACAGAGGGTTTGAAAAAACCCAGGTGCAGAATAATTCTGCTCAGGTATCTGCTCCATTCTTAAACATCCATGGTCCAATGTAAGTATGTATTTATTAGTCCTACATTCACATGCATATGTACAGAATTTGGGACTAACATGTTTTTATTGTGTCCAATAGATACTGCATCCCAAATTGAGTCAGGAGCAAGACAGGGGAACCAAAAAGCATGTTGTGGAGGTAAGTTATGATAGCTTCCTTTCAATTCTAAAATGCATGTTTTCAAATGCTCTCACATGTACTATGTGCCTAGTTTGTTACAAATAATACAAAATAGTGTTGTGTGAAGGAATTTCAGGTTGAAATAAGCATCTTCATTTTTTTCACTTTATATACACCAAAAATATTTGCTATGGAAAATACCAAGGGGAAAAACACCTCAGAATGGATAATTCCCAAAGTAAGTGCCACACTGCATTCTTGTGAAGGAATTTACTCCTGTCCATCCAAAGATACTTCACATTTCTCCATCTAACTGTGCATAACTTAGTGATTCTCTTGTAGTTGAAGGATGCATGATCCAAAAAAATATATAAAGTGAA